AAAACGGAGAAAACGAAGAAAATAACCGAAAATACATAAAGACTCGAAATAAAGGAAAACACACGAAACGAAATAAAACGGACCAAAACGATTACGAAAAACATAAAATGGAGGAAAAAGAAAAGAAAAATAATCACGAAAAATGTAACAAAAATGGGACAAACACATATCATGTTACATTACAATAAAAAATAATTTTTTTTTTGTAATTTAATTTCCAGCCATACTCCATCAAACATATAGCTGCAAAATGATAAGAAAGATTAGTTTCATAATTAAAATAAAATTTAGCTCCCCCAAATGGTAAAACCTTATAAATTAGTAGTATATATATATATATATATATTTAAATGACATATAATTTATAAAGTTAGACTATACGCATAATAAGATAAATTAAAAAAAAGTTATGAAGTAAATAAATAAATTAACAGCCTATATAATTATTATAGCAAAGTCTATATTGTCAATATTACCATTTAAAAGTTCATTGAAAAAACATATGTATAAAAAAAAGTCATAGGATCATAATTAATAGTGAAAAATTGACTATCTTTGACTTTCCATTTGGTAGTAATAATAAAATATTTTATATTACTACTATTCAATAAAATGCATGGTTTCTGCAGATTTGATTATCGCAATCAACATTTTGTTTAATAAATTAAAAAGTGTGTTGAATAAATTGTCTCATATTTTCATTTAAAAAAATTTGTTGGCCGTGAAAAAAAATATTATTTCACAATTATAAATATAAATATGATTAATTTTCATTAAACAATTCCTCTTTAAGAAAAAGTGGCGGTACAAATTTTTGCATGATTATAGCATCAAAACATATCCAAAACATCAATATTTTAAGGCATAAAAACCATACTTTCAGCAACAGAAAAGTCATATTAAACGTAAAATGGCAAAGTCAAAGAATAAGGATTGACAAGGCATTATATGTAATGGCAGATTGTTGTATAATATAGAAATATCAAGCATAATTAATAATCAACAAAAAAAGTCAAATCTATATGAAAATAAAAAATCAAAATTAAAAACACAACAAATTATGTGGAACATTATTGGACACTATACAATATAGAAAGAAAAATAATTTGATCTCCCTATTATTATCAACACATTCAACTTTTATCAAGACATCTGCCTTTATATTAAAATCGATTTTTTGCGTAAAAGTTTTAAAAATAATAATTCCTACAGATTCTTTTAAACATTAAACAAGAAATTAATAATATGCGAGAAATATATGTAAACAGATTTGTTATAAACTTACCTAATATTTCCAAATTTTGAACAGAATACTAAAAACTTAGAAAAACTTCGGCAAAAGACTTTGAACAACTTCGAAAAGCGATTTTGAACAAGTGTTAGCAAAGCTTCACTTACTGTTATGATGAGAAAGACGAAAAAGAATTGAACTATTTACTGTTCAAAATCTGAATAAAATACATAAAAGTTACATATGTATGCTATAAACATATATGAACATATATGTTATAAACTTACCTATATATTTGTTAGTAGAGCTGAATAGATCTGTTAGAAACTTACCTATTTTTCAGATAAAAGTTTGAAAATGTTCGACCAAAATCATGTTCTCTTCGAAAAACGATTTCGAAAAACATCTAGATAATATCGAATTATGTATAAAATATGATATATCTTTGAAGCTTATTCAAAAATAATTTCGAAAAACGACACAGATCATTGAAAATAATAAAAAATAAAAACTATGTTTAACAAAAAATATTTTAGCTCTTCATAGATTTTTAATATTATCGCCCGATTTTGACCGACATGTTAAAATTTAGCTACACAGATTAAGAAATCGGGACGAATATTTATTTTTCGATCACTACTGTTAGCCACAAAAACAACATTTCTCGGATTTTTTTTTTAAGCCTTTACTGGGAGAAAATCTCCGGTAAAACATTTTTTTTTTGTATTGAATCTCACCGAGTTTGTCGTAAGATCGGGTTAAGGATTAGCGTTTCAGACATAGTGAATAACGAAAGAAGCGCCGACATCAAACAAAAAAATTAGCTTACATCACTCAAGGAGTTTATCTCTATTTATAGTCATGTTTTCATTGACATGATTTATATTTGATTTTGGCTACCCTAAAAAATTCAGTGGACCTCTAATTTGAGCCTTTTTTTATCATTCAATCGCCCAAAAATTGTCACTTTGTTCAAATGTCTTAAATATTTGGCACATATCATTATTTATCAACCAAATACAATTATTTATTTTGTAATATTTTGCTGGTATTTTTATAGTATTTTTTTTTTTAATTTCCTATATGATCTATAGTACAAAATACAAATTATTTTAAAAATAAAATCATTATATGTCTTATTTTGAAGATAGTGATTTGTAGTGATGGAGATTCTATTGATAGACAAATCACAAACGTTGTATATAAAGAATTGTTTAACAATATTTAGTTATTCTTTTTTAGAACATTTTTCCAATGATTATATTATGATTTTTACTATTGTTTATATCTTTTCATTATTTTTTGTTCTATTATAATGCTTTCCGTGCAAATGCACGGGTTAAAAACTAGTAACAATAAATACATAGTGATTTTCAATAAATAAGATTAGTTTAGTCAATTTACTTATTAACTAATGTCTCTTTAATATTTGTGCAAAAACCTTAAACGCTTTATATTTCAAAATGGAGGGAGTACTCTAATTCATGTGTTCTATAATCTAATAATAACAACTTGCACGGATATCCAAATTTTGTCAAATAGCTAACTCTATCATTTTTTCCCTTAAAACTATAAAAAATACCCAAAAAAAAAAAAAAATCATAAATCATTTATGATATATTCATCTCATATGATGCCTTTTTATAAGATAAATATAGTTCAAGTTTTTAAATTTTGGTTCGATCAATAAATTTAATTATATTTATAAATATAAATAAAATTAATTTTAAATTTGTATATGTGATGTGGTTGTCAAATCGAATATTTTAAAAAGATTTTTAATTTGATAAATCGTAATTAAAATAATAAAATTATTAACTTTAGAAATATGATAAAAAAAATCATGGTACTTAATAATGAGAATAAATAATACATGTTCATATTTCATTTGAGTAGAAAAAGAGAAAAAAAAATGCATACTCACCAAACTTACAAATAATATATTTATGTTAAATATCAAATTTGATACCAAAACAATAATGTTTGTACAAACCAAATCACAAAGCACACAATTTTGTTATTATATCATGCGAAGCGTACGAGTCTTTCACTTACCCGAAGCATGTGTTAGAAAAAAGGCTGATAATAAGTTTGCATCTTTGAAAATCATATTATATATGATTTAGGTAACCAAATTTTCAACATTCTTGGCCTAAAAATAAGTAGAAAGGATACATACTGTATTGTATTTTACCCACATTTTCAACAGTCTTGGCCTAAAAACAAGTGAAATGCACCAAATCTTATATTCGACATCGTATCGACCAATTGATTCCCCCCACCAACAAAGGTTGACTTCAAGGCAGAGTATGGAGCCTTTATATGGGCCCCATTTCTTTTGGGCCACTTATATTATTACAAAACCAGGAGTGTGAAAGTAACAACTGTCCATATATTGGCCCAACAACAATTGACAAGTACCAACCATGTGTTGCTATCCTTTTTTTTTTTTTTTTTTTCCCAAAACGACAAAGTTCCATTTCAACTCAACAAAATGTACAAGAACCATGAGAGAGAGAGAGAGAGAGAGAGAGAGAGAGAGAGATCTTTAAGGAATCTTTACAGGGATCACGGGCTCGAGCCGAGCTCCGCTCGTTAAGCTAACGATCCAACAAACAAGCTCGAGCTCACGAGCCTAATTATGTTTATAAGTTCGAAAAAGTAAGTAAAAACTCATGTTTAAGTCTTAATGGGCCGAGATGAGCCCACTAACAGCTCGTTTAGTTTAACAGCTCTAGAGGGCAACCGAGCAAAGAGAAAGCAACTCCAAGATATAAACAATGACCTTGTGAGACATACAAAGAACATTTCAATTGCAATTCACATTTTTACCTGGCAGTAGTACAAAAACAAGGGAATTCAAGAAGAAAATAAAATGAAGAGGAAAATTAAAAATCTACAGATTCATATTCAGTAGCTGTAAGGATAGGCTTCTTCAATTGGGCTATGGAGCCGAAAACAACTAACAAAAAAAGGGGTATAGAATCATCAGCTTAGCTTAGCTCACTGTACAACCAACCAAAAATAAAAAGTAAA